GGCCTCGCCAGGGGCCGGCGGGGGCCGAAGAAGGTTGACCACCCTCGCCCAAGGTCTGTGACCTTCGCCAACCCCTCCGGCGATGGGCGGCGGCACCCCACCAGCAAAGCTCCTTCTCTCTCTTTTTTTTTTTTGCAGTTTTATTCTATTTTGTTTTTTAATTTTTAGCCATTTTAATTTAATTCAAATAAGATTTGAATAAATAATTTTAAAAAATGCCACGTTGGAGAGAGAAATCATTTAAAAATGCCACGTTAGCATTTTCTGTTAGACAAATTAACGATGTTAATTTTAGGACTTGATTGAACCAATTTGACAAGTTTTAGGACTTTATTGCACTTTTTGAAAGTTTTAAGACTCAATTGCACTTTCATAACAAGTTTTAGGACTTTTAGTGAGCATATCCCTTTTCTGCTAATTTAGTCCTAAAACTTTTTTTTGCCAATTTATCCTAAACCTTTTCCATCGGGCCAATTTTGGCTAGCCGGTGCTGATGTGGACACTCGCCAACGCTGACGTGGATAATTTTTAATAATATTTTATTCTATTTTTCGAATTTTTTATTGATTTTTTTCTTTTCTTTTTCTTTTTCCTTTTTTCCTTCTTTTCTTTTTTTTCCCCATGGTGGCCGGCGAGGCATGCGGGCCACTGGGTGAGGGTTATGAAGTCCTCGCCTGACCGCCAGCGAGGGTTGCGGCCCCCAAGCCTCATGCCCATATGAAGAGGCATGGCCTCGGGCGAGGCTAGCCTCGCTAGGGCCGTGAGTCTTAGGGGCCACGTGCATATATGGGCAAGACTAGCCTCACCCTCAGCTTGCAAGGCCATGACCGCCTTCGCCAGCGGCTCTTGTCAAAGTCTCGCCGGCAACTGTAGGGGAAAAAAGAAAAAAAAAAGGAAGAAAAGAAAAAAAGAATAGGAAAAAGAAAAAGAAAAGCAAAGAATAAAATTTGATAAAAAAATTCGAATAAAATGAAATACTATTAAAATTATCCATGTCAGTGTCGGTAGGACGGTTGGCATTCACGTGAGCGTCGGCAGACCAAAATTGACCAGATAGACTGATTTGGCACAAATACAAAATGTTTAGGAGTGAATTAGCGAAAAAACAGTTTAGGACTGAATTGGCATAATTGCAATAGGTTTAGGATTTTTTTTTTTTATATTTTCCCCTCAAAATGTCATAATGATACTTGCTCAACCGTAATGATTATACCCTTAAAGGAAGGGATAATTATCCAAAAAGTCTTAAACCTATTGTACGGCGGTCAATTCAATCCTAAATTTTTTTATTGTGCCAATTTAAACATAAAATGTTTAAATGTGCTAATTTTATCCTATACCTTTTGATGATTTGCCAATTTAGTTCTAAATATTTTGGTAATTTGCCAATATAGTCCTTCTAGGTAATTTTGGCCAAAATCGCCGAAGGACTACGTTGGCAAATCAATAAAAGGTTTAGGACTAAATTGGAAAATGGTCAAAAGTTTTTATGATTGAATTGGTACAATTAAAAGGTTTAGGACTAAATTAGCCACCATAGAATAGGTTTAGGATTGAATTGGCATAACTAAAAGGCTTATGACTTAATTGACCACCGAACAATAGGTTTAGGACTTTTTGGATAATTTTCTCCTTAAAGAAATAAATACACATTTATCTAACTATATCATGAAGTAGCAGGCTAATTTAATTGACTATCATCAATGGTAGACTTGGAGATCTAACTAATGAGCTGACCACCCATGATTAACAAAACAATCAAACATAGAAAGTCAATGGACAAGAGAAAGAACATATAGTTGTGCACATGCTAAATTTTATTGTATGTGGTAGTTTAGATTTGATCTGGTCTGTCCTCGTGTGGAATAGAAGGAAATGAAATAGATTTCCACGTTACAAGTACAATACTGAGGCTCGTAATTGAGAGGCCAACCTCTAAAAATTAGTGAAACTGGCGATTAAGGGCGCGTTTGGTAACGTTTCTACTTCTCTATTTTTCTGTTCTTCTGTTCCCCGGAACAAAAAAAGAACAGAAATCTGTTTGGTAACGCATTTTATTTTTCTATTTCCTGGAATAGAAAAATGGCCAAGAAATAGATTTGGAACAGAAATACAGAAATAAGAAGTAGTTTTTTTCTACTTCTTTGTTCCCATAAACAAAAAAAGAAATAGAAAGGTCCGGTCCTCAAGCCGCGGCCTCAGCTCCTCCTCTATCCTTCATCGTCTGTAGACTGTCTCAAAGCACCAGTCCGGTCCATTCCCAGCGGGAATAATAAAAAAAATTCATAAAAAATTAAAAAATTCTCAAAATTCCAAAAATTCATAAAAATAAGAAAAATTCTCAGAAAATCCATAAAAATCAGGAAAGAAAACCCATAAAAATTTGCAAAATTCTAAAACTGAAAAAATTAAAAAAATTCATAAAAAAGTTTCTGGAAAATAAAAAGAGACAAATTTTGGGAAAGTAAAAAATTTTAATAAACTTTTCCCCAAAAAAATATCAAAAATAAAAAATTCACAAAATGGGTTAGAATAAATTAAAAAATTCCGAAAATTCATAAAAATTAGAAAAATTTCAGAAAAATCCCTAAAAAATTAGAAAATTCCAAAAATTCCAAAAATTCATAAAAATCAGAAAAATTCCCAGAAAATCCATAAAAATAAGAAAAACTCAGAAAACCCATAAAATTTTGCAAAATTCTGAAATTGAAAAAATTAAAAAGAATTTCATAAAAAAATTTCTGGAAAATAAAAAGAAATAGATTTAGCGAAAGTAAAAAATTTTAATAAATTTTACCCCAAAAAAATAAAAAAAAAGTTCACAAAATGGCTTAGAATACCTGTAGCCACCCACTTTGAATGAAATTTAAAATTTTTTTAGGTGCCCAAGTGGTATTTTTGAAGATTCCTTAGTTTAGGGATTAAAAGGGGTTTTAAACCCCTAAAAAGGATTAGACAAACCAATAAACCATGCTTATTGATTTTTTTTCACTTATAACTTGTACTTATAGTTAAATAAAAGATATAGATTTGAATGCAAAAAATTGGGAATAGAAATTTTTTTAGTTGTTCCAAACGCATTTTTGTTCATTTTCTATTCCAGGAATAGAAATTTTGTGCAGTTACCAAACTCATTCTTTTGCTCAAAAACTCATCCAGGAAATAGAAATAGAAAAAACTATTTCTAAAAAGAAATTGTTCCCGGAAACAGAAACGTTACCAAACGTGCCCAAGTACAATCAAACATAGAAAGTCAATGGACAAGCACTACAAAAAAAGTTGGTTTTAGCGACGAATTTTGCCACGAAAAATTTGGCAAAATTCGTCGCTAAACGAATTTGTGACGGAAAAAAATTCGTCGCTAATAGGCCGTCGCAAAATTTTGCGATGGAAAATTTCAATTTTCATCGCTAATTTGCGAAGAAAAAAAATTCGTCGCAAAATTCGTCGCTTATTATTCGTGGCTAATTTGCGACGAAGCAAAATTCGCCGCTAATTATTCGTGGCAAAATTCGTGACTAATTTGCCACGAACTATATTCGTGGCAAAATTCGTCGCTAATTTGCCATGAACTGTATTCGTGGCAAAATTCGTCGCTAATTATTTGTGGCAAAATTCGTCGCTAAATATTCATGGCAAAATTCGTCGCTAATTTGCCACGAACTGTATTCGTGGTAAAATTGTTGCTATTTTTTTCAATTTTTTTTTGTTGGTCGCGAAATTGCGACGAAATATTTTCGTGGCAAAAATCGTTGCTAATTATTCGTGGCAAAATTTATCGCTAATTTGCGACGAACACATTTCGTGGCAAAATTCGTGGCTAATTTGCCACCCAATTTTTTTTTTGTCAGTATTTTGCGACGAACTTATTCGTGGCAAAATTCGTGGGTAATTTGCCACGAACACGTTTCGTGGCAAAAATTCGTGGCTAATTTGCCACCAAAATTTTTTTTTGGTCAGTATTTTGCGACGAACTTATTCGTGGCAAAATTCGTCACTAATTTGCCACGAAAAATTTTGACTTTTGCCACGAACATTGTTCCGAAACGAATTTGGCGACGAATTTTAATGAATAATTTAGCGACAAAGTCTACGACGAATGTTGTTTAGGGACGATTTCAATTTGAAATCTAATTAACAGCAATTATAGAATTTATATTTAACATTGATAGAATCACAGTCAAGACAAGAACAAACACAAAAAAGAAAGAAATGGAACAAAGCACTAAATTTGTATGAAAAATCCTTGAGAGGATACAACAAATTCAACTGCTTCAAATCCAGTTCGCTCTCTTGTTGCAAACTGTTGATCTTGCCAAGAAGTTCTTTCACGTAGTCACGTAGTCTATAGTGTCTCCAAGAATCGAAGTCCTGTCCATCTGCAGCGCAAACATCACAATATCAAACTCCTAACCCCTCTTAATTTTTTCACATCTATTCAACAGCAGAAAGAGGGGTGTTCAAAAAAGAATATATTAGGCTATATTAGGCTATGCTCACACAAAAGACCAATTCCAGAGGGCATGTATGCAAACCGAACGCTTATTGTCATGTAGCATAAAGAATGATAGAAGTACCTCTTGCATTAACTTAGTGAACCCACGGCACAATTCTCTGCGAACTGACTCGTCAAATATCGAATCCAAAGTGATATCTTGTAAAGCCACCAAAAGCGGTCTCTAATATGTCAAGTCCTGCCTAGTTTGCAAAGACGAAAACTGGAATAGACTGCCAAACCAAAAGGAAGACCGTCATTAATCATTCCTAATTACATACATGGCAAAATTCACTTTTAACAATTTCGAGTAATACAAATAACATATAACAACACAATATGGCATCATGATCATTCCAAAGATTCTTCAAAGAATCAGTGCCAAGTAATTCAGATCCCAGCAACTCTGTTCCTAGAATGCACGTGCATGTGTGAACAAGGGAGAGAGATAGCCGAGCATCAGCTTGATTAGTCCATTGTCTCTCGTATACATGTGCAAAAACAGTTGTTGAACTTTTAACAGAATCGATACATGTGCATTGAACAAATGCAACAACTAATAACTTGTCCTATAAATAAATAGATAATGCTGAAGCAAGCTTACCCTCAAGTTTGGAAATTTTAACTAGCAAGGATCATCATCATCAGCAATCTCATTATCATTGTGTCGCTCATCATTGTGCCCATCACCTACTGGATTAGTGGGAGGTACAGGAGCAACGTCATCGTGATCGAGGTTGAGGTGTCGCATGATTAATTGCAAATGTTGTTTCACTCCTCTTATTTCTTCGTCCTTCTGTACAAGTAAATGTTTCAGTTGGTTCAATTCTTGGGTCATTTGCTCCTCGTGTTGTGACCTCCTTAAAAAAGTCGCATTTGAGGATGAAGTTGCAGCAGCCGGCATTGTGTATATCCTTGACAAGGATTCCATCCCAAATATTTGACCTCTTCTCATTCCACCCAATGCCTCCACCCATAATGCCATATTGTCAACCGATGGCTCGGACGCAGCAACACCATCACCATCACCACCACTAGCAGCAGTGCTCATTACAAGTTCATTATATTTGTCCTACATTAACAATATAGATGAAAATAAAAAAACTTCATATATATAACTACAAAATATAACCTTACATACCTTAATAGCTTTTGCTCGATTGCTAGTCCATGTCTTATCTTTTTTCTGAAATATGCGTTCAAATGTAGCAATAAATGTTGGTTCCGTCTCCAATTCATCTGCCTACAAAAAATAAACATAAATGAGTAATCATTGAATTAACTTACAACATGTTTAACAGACTTACCATTCTTTTTCTATGCTCCCCGATGTTGATAGAGCCCCCAGCATTTGTGGCAGACCCTTCACTAGAACTAGAAGCTCGATTCTTCTTATTTATTTCACTGATTTGCTTATGCTTTTCGGTGTCCCAAGTTCTCTTAATTTCCGTCTAATTGTTAGCTGTAATAAAATCCGGCTTTTCTTGACTTCTCTTTGCTCTATTTATCACATTTCGCATGTGATCACCGGCTTTCTTCTTAAAAATTCTTCTAACTTCTTTCTCTTCCACTTCATCCCACCTGAACTTCCGCTGCAAGCAATCAATTGAAAAATAATTGTACACTTAGTATGCTAAACCGAACTTAGTTTGTGAGAAAATAGAAGGACAAAACTTACCTTGAACTAATTCCACCACAATTCCTTTACTTCTTTTGGAGCGGTGGTCCAACTACTATACTGCCCCATTCAACAGTTATTGATTATTTTATTAAGTTTCCTCACAACATACGTAGCATCCATGAATCTGCAAACAAATTCAACATACGTAGCATCCGTGAAGCATACGGACAATTCAGTTGACGTCCATAATAATTTACATATACTTATAGTACTTACGAATCTCCAAATGGGCATATCATGAATCGGCTATCTTCTTCATCATTCGAGTGTTGCATTGAAGAAGAAGGTGGAACCGAAGGCGATGGAACTGAAGTAGATTCAGTTCGCATTTAAGGTTCGGAGGAAGGGCCAATGTATCCATCAGCATGTACTGGTTGAGGGTTAGATGAAGGGGCAAGGGAAGAGGAAAGGGACGGGGACGAGGACGAGGAAGGAGAAGGGCCTGGTCTTCTTTGTGAAGCTATACCACGACGCATGTAACCTCCACGTTTATACTAACAAGTTGAAATGTTAGACAAATATGTTAAAAAATATGAACATGTATTAAGGACACATAATGACGTACGTCGTGAAGCTTACCATTTTGTTTTTGAGAGCAAGAGATAAGGGTAAGGGAGATGGTAGTCGGTAATCTCTCCGTAAACAAGGCTGGTTTGGTCAATCTTGGGTCTGCAATTGTAATCACAAGTTAGTGAACATGTTGAGGTCATGCACAAGAATACTCACTTTCAGTCGAAGCTAAATGGCTGCAGCTACTTCTCAGTGAATAGGAAAGTTTCACGGAAGTTTGAAATTATTGGTGCAATTGGCCTTCCACTTTGAGATTTTGGTTTACAAATCCCATTAGTTTCCACATGAATGATCTTTTCAACTTTTTTCTCTGTTAAAAATTCATTAAATGGTTCAGTATGAACTATTCAAGCTAATACTATTAACTTTTATACCAACATATCCCTCTATTCTTCATTCAGCTGCAACAAGCAATTGTGGTCAAAGGACGGTTGATGAGGACGAAAGATTGAAAAATCACGAGGAAAAGGCAAACACAAACAGCTTGCCACCTCCCTTAGATGATGGGCCACCTAGTACATAGTCTTAAATGAATTACTAGGTTAATTTTTCCTTGTACAGATGATTAATTTCTCGCAAACAGATTTTTGGAACACAAACAGATTGAAAAATTAGCCTAGTATGAAAAATAAATAGATTGCCGCACAAACAGATTTCTCGCAAACAGATGATGGGCCACCCAGTACATAGTCTTAAATGAATTACATAGTCTTAGATGATGGACCACACAAACAGATTGAAAAATTTCTCGCAGAATAGTACAGATGATTCAACAACCACAGGAAAGAAAGCCTCATGACTTACTAGGTTAATTTTGCCTTGTACCAGCACAAAATCCCATGCAATGTATGAAGCAATTCTACGAATCCACCATCAAGGAAACCTAGAATAGAGTCCATTATGAAGCATAAAAATTTTTGCAACCAAAACAGCATCATCGAGGTTACAGCAGGTGCAAAAAATGACAACAACAAACCTATATGACATTCATCATCACATTATAATCCTACATGACATTCGTCGCTAATCACATTATAGCCTATTTTTTATTGGTTTCAATATTCAAACCTAGATATAAATAAAATAATAATGAAACGACTCCGAAACGCTAGAAAAAACTCAAACCAAACTGAAATCACATATTCAAACAGAATGGTGTTTTTGCTCAAAAACCCATGTAAACGACTCCGAAACGCCAAAAAACGACTTGCGACACAGCCAAAGGCGGTGATTTTTCATCAGCGGGCCGTTTCCACTTGACCAACCAAATTTCAGCTCATTTCGACCAAATTTCAAATGAATTTCAACCCAAATCAGACCAAATTTCAGCTCATTTCGACCAAATTTCAACCTAAATCCGACCAAATTTCAGCCCGTTTCCACTCGGCGATCATAATAAATTCGCCGAAAATTCCAATTATGGCTAACAGTCAACCCGTGATAAGTCATTCTGTTTCGCCCACGAACAGAACCATTCTGTTTCGCCCACGAACAGAATCAAATTCGCCCACGAACAGAACAATACTTAAGCAAAAGCAGCAGACCCATTCTATTTCGCCCAACGTCCAACAGAAGCAAAAGCAGCAGACCCAAAAGCAGCAGACCCAAGCTAATTCATCCAACAGAAGCAAAAGCAGAAGCAGAAGCAAACGTCCACAAAAAAATTTAGAGAACGTACCTCTAAAACTCTCGGACGACGATCCTCGCGCCGGGTGTCCTCGTGCCTCCTAGCGTCCGCTGCCGAAGAACGCCGAGAATCGCGTCGAAGAACGCCGAATCCAAATCCGAAGGTCGCCGAGAATCGTTCGATCGACAGAGACAGAGACAGAGACAGAGACAGAGAAGAGGGAGAAGAGGAAGAGAAGAAAACCCTAAATTGAGTGATCGAGACAAAGAAGAAAGCCTAATACTAGTTCTACCCGCAAATGAAGACGATGTCATTTTGCTAATTTCCGCCGAAATTAGCCACGGATCGAAATTCGTGGCTAATATCGTGGCAAATTAGCCACGGATTAAAATTCGTGGCTAATTCCCTCGTACATTAGCCACGAATTTTAATCCGTGGCTAATTTGTCACGAATTTTAATTTTGTCGAGGCAAATTCGAATCAAACTATAAAATTGTTGCGGCAAACCCTAATATTTTTTCCGTTGCTAAATCCGTGGCAAATTAGCCACGGATTTAGCCACGAATTTCAACTCTACTAGCCCTTTTTCAAATTCGTGGCTAAATCCGTGGCTAATTTGCCACGGATTTAGCCACGAATTTCAATTCAACTAGCCCTTTTTTCAAATTCGTGGCTAAATCCATGGCAAATTAGCCACGAATTTCATTTTTACTAACCCATACAAGCCTAATTCATTTTTTTTCAAATTCGTGGCTAAATCCGTGGCTAATTTGTCACGGATTTAGCCACGAATTTCGTTTCTACTAGCTCACACAAGCCTAATTCATTTTTTTCAAATTCGTGGCTAAATCCGTGGCTAATTTGCCACGCATTTAAATTCTACTAGCCCTTTTTCAAATTCGCGGCAAAATCCATGGCTAATTTGCCACGAATTTTGCCACGCATTTCAATTCTACTAGCCCCTTTTCAAATTTGTGGCTAAATTCGTGGCTAATTTGTCACGGATTTAGCCACGAATTTCAATTCTACTAGCCCTTTTTCAAATTCGTGGCTAAAGCCGTGGCTAATTTGCCATGGATTTAGCCACGAATTTCATTTCTACAAGCCCACACACGCCTAATTCATTTTTTCAAATTCGTGGCTAAATCCGTGGCTAATTTGCCACGGATTTAGCCACGAATTTCAATTCTACTAGCCCTTTTTCAAATCCGTGGCTAAATCCGTGGCTAATTTGCCACGGATTTAGTCACGAATTTCATTTCTACTAGCCCACACACGCCTAATTCATTTTTTCAAATTCGTGGCTAAATCCGTGGCTAATTTGCCACGGATTTAGCCACGAATTTCATTTCTACTAGCCCTTTTTCAAATTCGTGGCTAATTTGCCACGGATTTAGCCACGAATTTCATTTCTACTAGCCCACACACGCCTAATTCATTTTTATTCAAATTCGTGGCTAAATCTGTGGCTAATTTGCCACGGATTTAGCCACGAATTTCAATTCTACTAGCCCTTCTTCAAATTCGTGGCTAAATTCGTAGCTAATTTGCCACGGATTTAGCCACGAATATCATTTCTACTAGCCCGCACACGCCTAATTCATTTTTTTTTCCCGATAATAACGTTTCAGTAACAATAATAGCAATAATAATAATCAACAACAACAATAACAACAACAACAACAACAACAACAACAACAACAACAACAACAGCAATAATAATAATAATAATAATAATAATAATAATAATAATAACAATAATAATAATAATAATAACAACAACAACAACAATACTAATAATTACGACAACAACAATAATAATAAATATGATAACAACAATAAACTCATGTCGTAATAATAATAATAATAATAATTACGACATAAATAGTAAAAAGTCTCAAAAATCTAAATCTTCATTTTCACCTTCGTCTTCATCTTGATCTTCATCTTCTTCATGAGCATCATCATCATCATCATCGTCATCATCCTCTGTCTCAAAATCAGATTCTGCAATACTTTCTAAATTTGATTCGCGAATTTCAGTTAGATCTACATCTATCATTGCTCCACATGGATCTCGTAAAGTTGGAATGTTATATTCCTTAGTTTCAACCGTGTTACAAACTTCCTCTTGTTGATATGCTGTATCCTTCCAGTGTTCCTCGATTGTTTTTCGTGCTTTGGTTTTACATATAGCCCACCAATCAGCTTTGTCACGTTTCAAACTAGGATATGATGCATAATATACTTGAATTGTTTGTTGTGCCAACACAAATGGTTCATATTTCATATACCTTTTCTTGTGATTTATTTCAACCAAATTAAACTTCGTATGCACCTTCATTCCTTTGACGGGATGGAACCACATGCACTTAAATAACACAACCCGCATTAATGGTCCGGGGTACTCTATCTCTATGATTTCATCCAACAAGCCATAAAAATCATCTTTTGAACTGCCACCAATGGATGACCGAACACACACACCACTATTCATTGTGGCTTTTCCCATTCCATATTCTTGAGTGTGAAAATTATACCTGTTTATGAAATATGCTGGCTAAGTCCGTACTCTTGACTTTGGACCCCACGACAGATGATATAGCAATCCTTGCTCTTCAACTTGATCATAATTACTGTGAACCTAAGGTCACACACGCAAAGTCAATAATATATATTTAAATGATGTATAAAATATTAATAACTTGGTTTTCGTCCATAGGCAACTTATATATGTTTTGAACCATGCTGCAAATTGTTCATCGCACAAACGGTCAAACTCATTTGGTGGTAGTCCATACATTGAAGTTTGAAAAATCCTATTAATAATTTGCATTCAAAGTATGGCTCCACTTCTGGATAGTTCAGTAAAATATATGTATGGGCTGCCTGCCGTTCTTCGCTTGTTAAGCAACGAAACTTACATGCG